GTTGGGTGGTATTTGGATATCAGGTCGGTGAGGTAGTTTGGGGCAATATTATGAATAGCTTTGTACGTCAATGTTTGAAGTTTGAATTTTATGCGTTGGGCAATCAGAAGCCAGTGGAGGGATTGGCGGAGGGGTGTGGCAGATACGGAGCAGTTCGTAAGGTGGATGAGTCTGGCCGCAGAGTTCAGGATAGCCTGAAGCGGGGATAGCGTGTGATGAGGTAGGCCAGTGAGGAGGGAGTTGCAGTAGTCGAGTCGTGAGATAACGAGGGAGTGAATGAGTTGTTTAGTAGTTTCTGGGGTTAGGAACAAACATATTTTGGAGATGTTGCAGAGGTGGAGCCTGCATGAATTTGCCAACGATTGGACATGGGGCTGGAAGGACAGATTGGAGTCTAGAGTGACACCTAAAACTTTGGCTTGCGGGGTGGGACTGATGGTGGCATTATTGGTCGTGATGGAGAGGTTGGGGGGGGGGGGGGGGGGGGCGCGGGCTGGGGCGAAAACTAGGAGCTCGGTTTTGGAAAGGTTTAGTTTGAGGAAGTAGAGTGACATCCAATCTGAAAATGAAATCATTACTATTGGCCCCTCATGAAGATGTGCTTCTTCGCTGGCCAATAGGAATAGATAGAAGTGGGAGAATGGAAACGCTTTAACACTAGTAAGAAGGGCCAACATTTTAGCAATCAGAATGGCCATACGTGTGTTTTTAAGTTACAGTCATACGATGTATCCAATGAATCGGATTATGGTCGACAAGAACGTCCAAGCAACATCCACTGTCTAAAGATGGCCGAGAATTTTACAATCTGATTGCATCGTATATGTAAGTCTCCTTTAGATATACCGAAGTAAACCGAGGGAGTGCCAAAACAATCAGTTATCCAGTCATGCAGTTCAGTTGATGTGCTACATATCTGTTAGTGGCTCTAATGGAGGTTGTACAAGCAAACTCTAAACAAACGAATGGTCCAACATAAGAGGACAAATTCTACAGGTCAAGACTCAGCGGTTCTCCTACACCTTAAGGAAAAGGAACATTCTTTTTAATATAGTGAGGTGCACGTTTTGGATGGAGAGATGGAAAACCATCTACTTCAGACTGGAACAACCATCACAACAGGGTTGGAAGCCTTCAACACCATCTGTTTTCCACATATAATGCCATTTTAACATCTCCATCCTGGCAAATTGACAACAATTCACACTTTCAGTCATGTAAATTGAAAACATGAACATCCATGAATATCAAGGATGGAATTATATAACTAGAATGGGGAGATGGTGGTGCCATGATTTTCATACCTCCTGTCTTCCTCTCCTACAGCTTCATCTGCCTTTCTATATCAGTTGGATCAAGTTGTTGGTGACACCTGTGGGAAATATACATGCTGGGATATGTTCCTGACACCCATAAGAACTGAGGAAGTGGCTTGGACAAGCTATGAATTGTCTTCAACGGTAGAACAAGCCCAGTTGAGTTTGACTGACGCTTGCTAGATGTACAAGCAGATTGTACTGTGTTTAACTTGTGAACTTTGAGTGCCAAAACAATCAGTTATCCAGTCATGCAGTTCAGTTGATGTGATGTTCTACATATCTCTAATGGACGTTGTACAAGCAACCTCTAAACAAACGAATGGTCCAACATAAAGAGGACAAATTCTACAGGTCAAGACTCAGCGGTTCTCCTACACCTTAAGGAAAAGGAACATTATTTTTAATACTGTGAGGTGCACATTTTGGATGGAGGGAACAACTGGTTCACAAGGGGTGTGAAGAAAACCATCTATCTCAAACTGGAACGACCATCAAAACACGATTGGAAGCCTTCAACACCATCTGTTTTTCACAAATAATGCCATTTTAACATCTCCATCCTGGAAAATTGACAGCAATTCACATATTCAGTCATGTAAATTGAAAAAATGAACATCCATGAACATCAAGGATGGAATTATATAACTAGAACGAGGAGATGGTGGTGCTATGAATTTCACACCGCCTATCTTCCTCTCATACAGCTTCATCTGCCTTTTTATATGAGTTGGTTCAATGTGTTGGTGACACCTGTGGGAATATACATGCTGGGATATGTTCCTGACACCCATAACTGAGGAAGTGGCTTGGACAAGCTATGAATTTTCTTCTGTGTCAATATTTTTATTGAAACGCAGATCAATACAAAACAACTGTTTGCCCGCGCAGGAGTTACAGCCCGATAGGTGAACAAATAACTAGACAGGCGGTATCTATAACACTTTTAAAGCATTACAAATAGACATAATGCGGTCCTGTGACCAAGGCCACAGTATGGCTTCAATGTCCCAGAAGCAAGTCCTGGGAAGACAAATGGTAGATATTAATGTCATCAATCTAGCGGTTCACTTGAAAAAAAAAAGAAAACAGAAAAGAAGAACCGGAGAGAAGAAAGCGGAAGAGAGAAAAAGAATCAAAGCCAGAAACGTAGAGAAAGGAGTAGACTCCTGCAGGTCTGGGTCCCAAATGAAATTTAAGAAACTCGTAGGTCCACCAAGGGCGCCAAACGTTCAAAAATTTACCATGCGAGTCACATACAATGCTGGCCATCTTCTCATACAATACTGGCCATCTTCTCATGTAACATCAGAGTAGTCAGGGTAATATTGACCTTATAGGAAGGGTCAGAGTGTGTCTGCCATGCTTTGGCTATAACCCGTTTGGCAGCTATGAATAGGTAGGTGGCTAATTTTTGTTGGTGAGCATATAACCCCACAATCAGGCAGTGTAGCAAAGTCGATTTTGCATATTTTGGAATGGGAATATGGAAGATGGAGTATAAAAGGCCAAATACTCTGGACCAAAACCCCTTTAGATGTGGGCATGACCACCAGGTATGGAACGTGTCACCTCGGAGTCCACAGCCGCAGAAACATCTGTCAACAAAGTCAGGATTTGCACTTGCAATGCGTATGGGAACCCAATACCATTCCAGAAGACCTTTGTAGGCAGCCTCCATTGTGGACTTGTTGAGCAATGAGAAATAATTGACCATGCTTTAATCCAGTCCGCTGAGTCCACAGAAGCTCCCAGGTCCCGCTATGAATTGTCTTCAAAGTTAGAACAAGACCAGTTTAGTCTACAAGCAGATTGTACTATGTTTGTGATGGAAGTCACTTTGGGTGGGGGGCCCATGGAAACCAGCTCACTTTGGAGAGGTGGGGAGACCCCTGTCTCAGCTCCCCATATCCCTCTTATGTGTAAGTCACCCTGTGCCTGTTAGGGGCACAGGGTGATCTGTCCTAATATTGTGTAGACATGTCTAGGAGATAGGTGGGGGGTTGTGGATTGTTGGTGTTATGTGGTTGCATCCCATTGTTCTATTATTTCTCTTGCTTGGGAGCAAACTATTATGGGATGTATGTGTTTATGTGTATTTGCTTAGTGGGGGGTGTCTCCAGCAGCCCTCCCTCCTGATGGGACTGTCTGCTTGTTTAAAGTTTGAATACCTGTGTGTCTCTTGTTACTAAATGTAGATTGCCCCGCCCTGTGACATTATGCAGGGAGGGGGGATTTGTCCCCTGAGTGTATATATCTTGTATCTGTGTTCAAATAAACTAGTCTAATTTCTGGCTTATTTCAAATCTGTGATGTCTGTGGTCAGTGTTCGGACGGGGAAGCAATATTCTAACAGAAGCGCAGGCTGGGTCGGTTCCGTTACAACTTTGAACTTGTGAACTTTTTCAACCTAACCTATAAAACAAAGTATTGTATTTGACTATCTTAAGGCCAACTGCAGGCTAATGTGTAAAACGGGGGTTTCTGCCATTTACAATTTACAGTTCCTTGCAGTGTATGTTACTAATGGTATGATGATAGGAATGTTTATATTCATACACAATCACAGCGGGGATATTATTTTTGCTCTACCTTCTAATTGAGTTCATGTTCTTTTGATCCTTTGTAGGCGAGTGAGGGAACTGAACAGCAGCAACACAAAGAAATTCCTAGAAGAGAGGAAAAGAGTAAGTAGGAAATGAGTCACTGTCTTATTCTCCTGTGAATGTAACATTTGTGGCCAGCCATCCTAGGTACTTACCTTTCCACCTACACCAAATACTTCCAGGTGTACAGAGGTAGGTGGTGTCATCTGCTTCCCCAGTGCTGTGCTGATCATCTTTTAAAAACTCCTCCACCTCCTGATCTCGTAAGTGTTCCTGCTTGAGATGCGTGAGAGATCCGGTCATTTGGTGGAGATGAAAGTTTATTAGAATTCTATTTTCAGTTTAACCCGTTCCTTCCCACAGTCTGTAGATTATTGTTCAGCTTCACAGTGCACCACGCAGAGGATATGGTCATCTACTTCCTCCCGTTGGCAGCTCGAAGCTGCTGCGCATGGTAGCCAATCGGCTTCTAACTTCAGCTTGTTCAATTAAGCTTTGACAATAAAACCCGGAAGCTGATTGGTTTCCCTAGATTTTGCAGTTTCCAGCTTTTGTAGATTATTATTATTATTATACAGGATTTATGGCGCCAACAGTTTGCTCAGCGCTTTACAATATAACAGGAGACAATACCACAACAATACAGTTCAATACAAGAGGGTTACTAGGGCCCTGATCCTGGGAGCTTACAATCTAGGAGGGAGGGACTAGTGGTACAAAGGGAAATAACTGTGGGGGATCGACTGGTTGGAAGAGTAGAAGATTCCATTATTAGCTGAGGGCAGGATAGGCTTCCCTGAAGAGATAGGTTTTCAGAGATCGCCTAAAAGTGAGCAGAGTAGGCGATAGTCTGATAAATTGGGGTAGAAAGTTCCAGAGGATGGGGGAAGCTCTGGAAAAGTCCTGGAGACGAGCATGGGAGGAGGAGACAAGGGAGCTAGAGAGTAGCAGGTCTTGCGAGGAGCGGAGAGGACGGTTTGGGTGATATTTAGAGACAAGATCGGTGATGTAATTAGGGGCAGTGTTATGAACTGCTTTATATGTCAGTGTTAGTGTTTTGAATTTTATTCGTTTGGCAATTGGGAACCAGTGTTAGGGATTTGAATTTTATTCGTTTGGCAATTGTGGAACCAGTGGAGGGATTGGCAGAGAGGGGTGGAGGACACTGAGTGGAGGTCAGTGGAGGGATTGGCAGAGAGGGGGGGTGGAGGACATTGAGTAGAGGCCAGTGGAGGGATTGGCAGAGAGGGGTGGAGGACACTGAATGGAGGTCAGTGGAGGGATTGGCAGATAGGGGTGGAGGACACTGAGTGGAGGTCAGTGGAGGGATTGGCAGAGAGGGGTGGAGGACACTGAGTGGAGGTCAGTGGAGGGATTGGCAGAGAGGGGTGGAGGACTGAGTGAGTCAGTGGAGGCCAGAGGTGGAGGACACTGAGTGGAGGCCAGTGGAGGGATTGGCAGAGAGGGGTGGAGCTTACAATCTAGGAGGGAGGGGCTAGTGGTACAAAAGGTAGTAACTGAGGGGGATGGACTGGTAGGAGGAATAGAAGATTCCATTATTAGCTGAGGGCAGGATAGGCTTCCTTGAAGAGAGAGGTTTTCAGAGATCGCCTAAAAGTGAGCAGAGTAGGTGATAGTCTGATAGATTGGGGTAGGGAGTTCCAGAGGATGGGGGAAGCCCTGGAGAAGTCCTGGAGACGAGCATGGGAGGAGGAGACAAGGGAGCTAGAGAGTAGCAGGTCTTGCGAGGAGCGGAGAGGACAGTTTGGGTGATATTTAGAGACAAGATCGGTGATGTAATTTGGGGCGGAGTTATAAATGGCTTTATACGTTATTGTTAATGTTTTGAATTTTAGATAACCCCTATTGCATGCTAGCTTCCAGAATGGATTGTCCCTGACAGCTCCCATCCTCCCTAAGGCTAGGTTCACATCGGTGCGGGTGGTGCCGCTGCGGATCCGCACAAAAATATGTGCAGCCGCACCACCCACACAGAGGAATGCGGAGCCGCGGATGGGTGCCCGAGGTTCCCCATGCGGGCTGCATTTTCCAAAGAAGTGCAAAGACTTCTTAAGCCTAGGTTCACATCTGTGTGGGTGGTGCTGCTGCGGATCCGCACAAAAATCTGTGCAGCTGCACCACCCACACAGAGGACTGCGGACCCGTGGGCGGGTGACATTAGTTCTAGTGGCACGCCGCCCGCACTGGAAAATGCAACCGTACTGGGAACCGAGGTTCCCATGCGGGCTGCGTTTTCCAAAGAAGTCCAGGGACTTCTTTCCCTGCGTGTCACGGGCACAGGAGTCCATTCAGAGGAATGGGCTTTCGTGCCCGTGCAAAACGCGGCCCGCATAGATGTGAACCGGGGGGCACTGCGTGTCCTAGGGCACGGGAGTCCATTCAAATGAATGGGCTCTCATGTCTGCGCAAAATGCGGCCTGCAGGAATGCGGAGATGTGAACCTAGCCTAAGGCTAGGTTCACACCTATGCAGTTTGTGCTTGATCCGTTTCTGCAGTGCTTTTTGTGGTGCAATTTGCATTTTTGCACATGGGTTTTTGCCGCGTTTTTGATGCAAAACGTGCAAAAAAACGCACTACATTCTTCCTTTCCAAAAAAACGCAGCAGGTGAAAATGTGGAGATGTGTATGTGTCCCATAGGAAATCATGTTAAATGGACTGTACTGCGTTTCTCACGTTTAGGCACTGTTCAGCATTTCAGCAGCCCCCGAACTCCCCCTAATGTTTTCCTATGTGTCCATGTACACATCTCCGTTTACAGGCATTTGAGTAATGCAGAAAACGTGCGTTCAGCAGTCGATTTTATCAGCGTTTCAAACGCAAATCGCTTCTAAACGCCGCAAATCGCGTTTATAAACGTTTGCTTTTTAAAATGTTTTTTTTACCAGTTCCCGATGCTGTCCAGAGCCTTTTTTCATCATGAAAAATGCATGGAAAGCGTTTTCAAGGTACTCAGATGGACAAAACACTGAACACAGGATGTTCTTACACATTGTAATGACCAATTCACACCTCAGACCTCTCCCACCCTTGGAAACAAAAGATATGTTCATGACCATTCACACCTCAGACCTCTCCCACCCTTGGAAACAAAAGATATGTTCATGACCATTCACACCTCAAATTCCTCATGAAGACCCCCTGCCAGTTGGCCTTAATGACTCCCTCCACCAGACACCTTTCCCACCCTTGGAAACAAAAGAAATGTTAATGAGCAACTCACACCTAAGTTAATCTCAACACATACTGCTGTCTCTGCTTCTACTCTCTGTATTTCTCTGAAACAGTCTGAAATAGTTAATAATTTACCACTTTTCAGTGCAATCTGGGCATTTGGGAGGTTCTCCTGTGCTTATCTTTAAAAAAAGCTTCTAAACGCAAATGCACATAAACGCAGTATGCAAACGCAGCTAAACAGACATTTTTTAACCTACGTGTTCCAGCAGTCAGTTTCCATCGTTCAGAAGTGTCCCGTGTACATGGGGCCTTAGGTGTGAACCTAGACTAACATTTCAAGTTGTTCTGATCATGTGAGTGAACACATACATTCTGGAGGCTTCATTCACAAAATAAACCTTCAGCCTGCAGATGCTATTGCAGCCTGAAAATGAGGGTTCTATATTGTAATTGTCAAATAAAACTACAGTATTAAAAAAATACAAAATATTACACAAAGCGCGCTGGGCAGGGGGTTAATTGTTGCTAGGATAAATTTTACTTATGAGGGAGGGGTCTGTTGCTGGCTGCTGGGAGATCTTTTGTTGCTGACAGTGGTCTATTGTTACTTGGGTGGATCTAATCTTGTGGGGGACATTTTGTTGAAGGGGTTTAATTGTTGGGAGAGATCTATTGTAGGAGGTGGCGAGTATTGCTGGCTGCTGGAGGGTCTATTGATGCTGTTGCTCTTGGGGGGGGGGGTCTATTTTTACTAGGGTGGTACTGTTGTTGCTGCGGGGGGGTCTATTGTTACTGGCAGCAGGGGATCTATTTACTGCTTTTCTTGTTATTAACAAATTTCATACAAATTACTTGGCACCCAAAATAAAATTAACTTGGCTCTGTATTTTTTAATGAGAGATGAGTAGGGGGCGGGACTAAGGGATGGTGCTCGGGGGGGTGGGTAGGGGGCGGAGACAAGGAGTGGCTCAGAAGGGGGGGATTACCTTCACCTATTCTCTGAGGAAGAAAAAAAGCCCTGGATCATTTTCTAACTACATCGCCATTGCCCCATGATCATTTGGCGTATTTTCTGATCCTCTTATACATCGGATACATCTGTCTGCCTAAATCTATAAGAGCGATACACAGGACCCCCGAATGCTCCACAGAATGTGACAACACGGAAAATTGTGCTGAGAAGTGTGGATCAAGCACAAGAATAGATGTAGAATGAAGAATAATTGTTGCCGCTAATGTTTCCATGACAACCACCTGAGCCTGTCAGTATGCCGCTCAGTAAAATCTCTTTTCCTGCGACATTTCTAACTAGAAAATAATAGACTGTGAGTGCCATTGAAGAAAGCAAAACAAAAAAAGATGATTTAATTTACCTTATTTAATTAAAAAACGTGATATTTAAAGGGGCCCTAAATGATCAGGATACGCACTCACTGTATACAAATAGGCATAATATATATACAAAGCACAAAGGATGTTTTATTGTATCAATATATCTGCTCTTACTGATACAATTATCATAGAGAGGCAAACATCGTAGCAAATGAAGTGGATCCATTTAAAGGGCACCATACAGCATTTTTACAAGTCGGCTTGAATACGATCCTACATGTCACAATACCCACATGGAAGAAAAAAATATTTGAAATATATTTTAAAAATATTCTTCCCAAATATATTGCCATATATTTGAAATGCTACAATTTTGGCCGTATTCAATATATTTCAATAAATATATACACCGTGTTCCAAATTATTATGCAAATTCTTTTTAAGTGTCACAAAGATTAAATATTTTGTTTTTCAATGTAACTCATGGATGCCATTGTGTGTCGGGGCTCTTTTGATCACTGAAAACAATCTCGGACACCTGTGATAATTAGATTGGCCGGAGAGCCTAATTTAAGGAAAAACTACTAAAGGAGGGCGTTCCACATTATTAAGCAGAGCGCCATTTTCAAGCAATATGGGGAAGAAAAAGGATCTCTCTGCTGCCGAAAAGAGTGAAATAGTTCAATGCCTTGGACGAGGTATGAAAACATTCGATATTTCACGAAAACGTAAGCGTGATCATCGCACTATGAACGGATTTTGTGGCTGATTCAGAGCACAGACGGGTTGGTGCAGATAAAGGCACATTGAGGAAGATTTCTGCCAGATCCATGCATCGGATCAAGAGAGCAGCTGCTAAAATCCCATTACATAACAGAAAACAGATATTTGAAGCTGCTGGTGCCTCTGGAGTCCCACGGACATCAAGGTGTAGAGTCCTCCAGAGTCTTGCAACTCTGCAAAAACCTTCTATTCGGCCACCACTAACCAATGCTCACAAGCAGAAACGGCTGCATTGGGCAGAAAAATACATGAAGACTCATTTTCAAACAGTCCTGTTCACTGATGAGTGCCGTGCAACCCTGGATGGTCCAGATGGATAGAGTAGTGGATGGTTGGTGGACGGCCACCCTGTTCTAACAAGGCTGCGACGTCAGCAAGGCGGTGGTGGAGTCATGTTCTGGGCCGGAATCATGGGAACAGAGCTGGTCAGCCCCTTTAAGGGTCCATGAAGGTGTAAAGATGACCTCTGCAAAGTATGTGGAGTTTATGACTGACCACTTTCTTCCCTGGTACAGAAGGAAGAACTATGCTTTCCGTAAAAAATCAACTTCATGCATGACAATGCACCATCTCATGCTGCAAAGAACACCTCTGCATCAATGGCTGCTATGGGGATAAAAGGAGAGAAAGTCATGGTGTGGCCTCCATCCTCCCCTGACCTCAATCCTATTGAGAACCTTTGGAGCATCCTCAAGCAAAAGATCTATGAGGGTGGGAGGCAGTTTACATCCAAACAGCAGCTCTGGGAGGCTATTCTGACATCTTGCTAACAAATTCAACAGAAACTGTCCAAAAACTCCCAAGTTCAATGGATGCAAGACTTGTGATCTGCTATCAAAATAAATGGTCCTACTGTATGTTACAATGTAACGTGACCTCTTAAAATGTTTAAAAAGTTAAAATGTTGTTGAAAGTTTGATTGAAATAGCTTTTGATTTCAGTAAATATGCTGCAAACACAACAAATGACAATTTTCAGTTCTTTACAACCTATAAAGTGTTTTGAAACTTCCTGTGCGGAATAATTTGGAAGAAAAATCCTGTTATCATTAGGAGGTTTGTTCAATAAAATGTGAATTGTACTCTTAATAGTTGTAACCTGAGAATTATGCCGACTGATATTTACATCAATTATTGAGGGAAATGAGAAAAATATCATCTGCATAATAATTTGGAACATGGTGTGTGTATATATATATATATATAAATAAATAAACATTCTTCATGAATCTTGGCCAAAATGTATTCATCCATCTTTTTAGTAAAAAAA